ACATGTGATTCTTGGGAGTTTCACCTCATTTTGGTGCATTTTTTCTATCAATTTATGACGATGATGGTTTGATATCAAGATGATTCAACAAGTTATCAATCTAATTTCATTATCTTTGCTTCAAGACACTTGGGTGATGATGATGATAATGATCATTGAGTTAAAATAACAAAGTTTTGAATGTGATATTGTTATTGATACTCAAAGCTAAAAAATTGTTGACCAATTTAAGCACAAAGTTAGCTTTTATCATTCTTAATCGAATAATACAAATGAAAATTCAATTTATTTATCAATTTTTCATTCAGGTGTAGAAAAAAGAAGTGATTAGTTAATTGATGATTTTGTAGATTGATGTTGAATTAATATTCTTATCTTTATTGTTACTTATACTAGTCTTTTCCTGACTCTTCCATATTTTATCAATGACTTCAGTGATTATTGGTTGATTTTTAAAGCTAGTTGGGTTGCTGCTGCTTTCAATGACCTGATTAGCATTAAAAAAAAATCAACTAATAGCCATTGAAGTTACTGATAGACTTTAAGAATGTATCTAAGCTTCATTAACTCATCCACATTCTTAAATGCAATGTAAAAATTGTGGTCTAAATTATCACTTACAGTTAGTAACATTTCCATTGCTTTGATTTATGTGTGATGATCATGATGATGCTGATGATTAGAACTTTGCCATATGAAAGTAGATAATAAAATTTAATTAATGAAATAAAAACCAACCTAATTAGACTTCTTATTATTGAATTACTATAAGCCAATTCATCTTTTAGAAAAATAAATTGAAGAAAAAAACTCGTTCAAACCGAGCTAACAAGCAAAACTGTTGGAGGTACTTTATTTTCAATAGTGGATATCAAATACCTACAATTTTCTTTACTTTAAAATTTGTGATTGAGCTTTACCTAATCCTTTGTATTCAGTTCAATTAAATCTCTCAAAGGAAAGTCAGTTCTATTTTTGTTTACATTATTTCTACATTTATCTTGACATCTTGAGGTCTAGATTTTCAGAGTGTGCTCAAATAATTCACATGGATTTGGATTGAATAAATTCAAAGATTCTTTTTTGTGTTTTATCAATTTAACAAGTATTAATAAATAATAATAATAATAGTAAGCATATTAATAAATATTATTACTAATGAATGGTAATAATAATTATTATTAACAATTGTTTAAACTTTTAATTGTAATAAATAATTATTATTTTTTATTTCTCGTTCAGACTAATGTTATTTAACTATCCTCTATTGTATAATAAATACAAAAGGAAGCACAAGTTGAGGATAATTTCAACCCTCTCATAGCTTCTTATTTCTTTTTTTTTCTTTCAAAGAGAAAGAGAGCCTAAGAAGCAGTTAAGATCAATACTTTTTATGCGAGAGACCTAAGATCGTTGGGATGTCAGAGAGGGTGAATTCATTCACCTCCTTCCACCCTCTCCTTACTTCTTTCCATTTCATCCTATTTTTTTTTTTATATTCCCTTAGCTCGCCCCACGTGCCGTCGTAATCACGAATATCATTAAACTCTCGGCTTCTTTGCTTGGACCTCGTCGGCTTTAAATTTCTCCTCTTCTTCTTCTTATTCTCTCCCGATTCGAGAGGTAGGCATGTATACACTAGGGGGATGAGTTCCGGTGAATTTTTAGGGGATGTAAAAGTCCATTATAATGAGTAATTAATTAAAAAAAAAATAATTGTTGAATGTAAAAGAAAAAAAATAATGTTAACATTTTTGTTGTTTTTTTGGTGAATTTATTGTTGAGAATGAGAATGAATTATTTTATGTTGATAGATGGTATAAGAAGGCATTCATTTGACTCGATAAATCAAGTTGGAATAAGGCAATGAAAGATTTGGCGAATTAATTAATCGTTGTGTGTGGCTGAAATCAACGCCTTGAGCTATAAAGAAAGCCTTTTGGAGATTTATAATGTCTCTATTTAACTGGGCAGGTGTCTTTCTCATTACATATCATTAAGTTTTATTTAATTATATATTCATTCATAAATAAAAAAATAATCCGACTTTTATTCAATTTATTTTTTATGAATTAATTCTTAACAGTAATAAATAATTCAAATTAAGTAACAATTTTTAATATCTTTATGTTTTAATTAGTGTTTAATTATTTAATTTAAACTTTTACGATTAAATAATCCTTTTCGTTATTCATTCTATATCAACACATAATTGATATAAAAAATGATCTCCAATAATTTGTAATAATTATTATTTAATTATTACTTCATAGAAAATTAAATAAAAACATTTAATGTTATTTTTACAATTAAATAAATAATTTTTTACTTAATTTTCGTTTCGACTATTTAATATTTGAAAATAATAATAAATAATTAATTTGAAAAAATGTAATAAAAATTCAAAAAAAATATTATTAAAATAAAAAATTTAAAAAACAAAGTATTAAATGAAAGTAAATTACTCAATTTTAATATTAAATGATTTTTAAAAGTACTTGTATGAGTAATTGATTTGAAAGAAATTATAGGATACAAAAATATTCAAGTCTACTGTAGCCCTCCCACATTATAAGAAAAATTGTCTAGGGTAATATTGAAAATGTCATAGTGATGGTGTTCTAAAAATATTTAAATGGATCTCTGATGTTCTCTCGAGATAATACGGTCATAGTCAGTAGTTTAAAACGTGACTGATAGATTCCAAGATCGATTATGTCTTTAGAAAAGACATGTTAAAAGGGTATAAAAGGGTTTTCTCTCTTCTCAGTTAATCTGTATCATGGGGATAAAAAAAATCGACCTGACACGTTTTCAAATATTGTTTGAAGCTTTCTAACATATTTAACATTAAAATAAGACTTATCTTTTCTTTAGACGAAATTTTTCATTCTAAAATATTACTCTAAATATTTTATTTTATTTTTACGCTTAAAAATGTCTACCAACATCTTTTTCAAATAATCTACAATAATTTTTTATAAAAAATCATTAAAATCAATCATTTTTCACGTAAATAATTTATTTGGTCCATTTTAACAATAATGTAAATTGACGGTCATTTTACCTTTCAGTCAAATCATGAGTTTTTTAACCGTCAAATGACCGTCGAGTAACGTCATTGCAAAAATGTTTAGTACAATAAAAACATCTAATTTGGTGCAGATAAAGTAAAAAAAAAATTTCCGGTAATTATTACGGACATATTTGAAAAACGGGGTTCTGTCAATTGACGGTCATTTGACCGTCATTTTTTTATTCTTCACATAATTACATTTAAATCAATCTATTTACAATTTTAAATTTATTAAAATTAATTCAATTCATTGTAAAGCATTTAAATATATTTAAATTATGATGTTTTTTTTTTGTATAAATGAAAATGAGAAAAAAAAATTCTTTTTTAAAGAAAATTGGATTTATTTTTCTTTCTCTAATAAAATGCATTGAAGGTCGTAAAAGGCTATTTATTTTGCAATCAATCATACTTCCGGATGTAACTTACAAAGAAATAATTCTTCTCTATTTACTTATTCCAAATTTTACGGAATCTCCGCCCATTAAATTGAAAGGATAAAAATTTTTTTTTCTGTTTCTTATTCAAAAAACCCTTTTCATTGCTCCCTTTAAAGACTTTTAAAACTTGCCAATTAATCATTTAAACCTTCCGTCATGCCGGATGTGGTCAACAAAAGCATTCGCACGCCCCCACATTTTGCATTTATTACCAAAAAATTATTTTGTAGAGTTTTTTTTTTTATCTTTGAAGTGATATCGTGGCATGACAAAGGATTTTAAAAATGTTCGTAAAGGCAAGAAGGGCTTGAGGGGATCAAGCATTAAAGAAAGTACTAGAGAAAGGAAAAAAAAATACTAGTGGAATTGGTTTTAGCGGGCAAGATGTGTAACCCTCGTCCTTCAAAGGTCGGTAAAAATCGTAATGCTTTTGTATGGAAATAAGAATATCCCTTGGGCCCTGAAAGATGCTCGATGTACGTAAATTCGAGACGCAAAGTTCAAAAGACTGGCGAGTAAGCAATCGGTGGGTTTCGGTAAAGATGAAGGGAAAAATGGATTTTATCAGATATGAAAATTTTTAGTGGTGCTATTTTTCAGGAAAATTATCAAAATTTTATCAACCTGCGTCTTATTTAAATACAAAATTAACAAAAAATTTCTAAAGTTTTTGTGAATTTTTTCCACGACTTCCGGTTATCAAAAATGGCTCATATTGGAGTGTTGAAAATCAGAAATTTCCCGCTCTATAACATGCAATTGGTATTTAATCGATATCGATATTAGTTTGTTCACAATTAATTTTTAAACACAACTGTCTTACTTGCATTTACTGTAAAAAATTTGAAAAACTCTTTGAAGCTTTTGGAAATTTTTTTTACCACTTCCGGTTATCGAAAATGGGTTGTATTGCAGTATGAGAGATCGAGAATTTTCTGCTCTACATGATGCACTTGGAATTAGATTTTTATCATAATTAGTTTACTCACAATTAATTTTTAAATACAACTACATGATCTGAGCTAAAAATCACAATTGAAGAAAAATTGTCTCACTTGTTAATTAATTTTTTTTATGACTTCTAGTTATCCAAAAAGGTTTATATAAAAGTGTTTGAGATCGAAAATTTCCCATTCTATTTTATGCAATGATTATTTAATCTCAAAAAAATGTTGGTCTCGTTTTAAAAGGTAAAAATTAAAAGTTCGAGTAATATTAAAAAAAATGCTAATTTTAAGCAATCGACTTTTCCTATTTATTAATTTTTTTGCATCATTAAAAATGATGATAAAAATAATGTAGAATATGGTTTCAAAACTAGAAAGAATGAGCTTTAAAATAAGCTCTGAATGACAAAAATTCAATGATTCAGAGTAAAGATATAGAATTTTAAAAATCACTGAGATTTTTTATTCTTCTGAGAGACCTTTTTACATTCAACACTCTCATATAATAAAAATAACAATAAAACTTATGCCTAAAAAAAAATGATTTCATGCAAATCTTAGTATTTACATTGTTCTTACCTTTCACGATGTTTTCTTATCCTTCCTTCATTCCATTTAATACTCGTCGACACACATTTTTCTCCAGCAACAGGCAGCAGATATTTCCTTCATCCTCTTCCACCTTCCCATCCTCCTCCAAGTCCTCTGAAAACACATCCCACATGAGGATAAATGGGCAAATGTTGGTTATATTATATATAATACCACATCGACATTATACACACATATAATATCGACTAGTATTGAATTTAAAAATGATATTTAACTTGAAAGGATCGAGTAGAGATTGGAATCGTTAGTTTTATAGTTGAATGGATAAATAAAATTCCTTATATGCATGCATGACCCGCTTATATAAGGATACGTGTGTACACAAAGCGCAACATGTATATATAATATAACCGAGTCCAGGTGTTTTTGGGAAATTTTTTCGGTTAAGGTCAGTCGATCAATGGGTGACCATTGACCTTAACAATATAAAAAATATCTTTTTGCATTTTTTATTTAATTATAAATTTTTATTATTAACCATTTTTTCCCATAAACTCTTTACACCAATGAATAACCAACAATACTTTACCATAAATATTTAATAATAATTAATAAATAATTAAATTTAATTTTATTTAACATAAAATAGTAGATTAATTTTTTTCTATGAATAAAAATACACAACTAAGTATTTTATTTGATATCGACAACAATATAAATTTTATTGATAAAAGATAGAAAAAAGAAAAATGTAATATCTGATGATGAGTTGAATATGAATGTTGGAGATAATAATAAAAATGAAGAAAGCAATAAAAAATGATGGAAATAATATATTAATTTTAAATTGTATCGATTAAATGTTAAGCTATATCTGAATGATAATAATAATGGAGATATGAATAAAGAAACTAAATCTGATTGAAGGATTTAAATAATTATATATGCTACTGTACAAAAATTATTTTTACCCACTACTGTACAACAGTTACTATGCAATTTTCGGTCTTATCTATTACTGTACAGCATCCACTGTTATCCAGTACTGTACAATAATTATTTTTATCTACTACTGTACAACATCTATATTTATCTACTACTGTACAACAATTATTTTTATCTACTACTGTACAATAATTATTTTTATCTACTACTGTACAACAATTATTTTTATTTACTACTGTACAACATCTATAGCTTTCGATTACTGTACAACATTTACTATCATCCCTCAATGCACAATATCTTTTTTATTCACTACTGTACCGTGTGTACTGTCATTCATTACTGTACAATATTTTGTTGTATCTACTACTGTACAAGGGTTATTGAAATTAATTACTATACAACATCCACCGATATCCACTACTGTACAACATTCATTGTTAATTACTACTGTTTAATATTTTTTTTTATCTATTACTGTACGACATTCATTGTTGATTACTATTATTTAGTGAATATGTTATCATCAATGTTATTAAAGTTTTTATTATATAAAATATTAATGTTAATCAGTATTTGTAAATGATTAAATTATTGCTTAAATGTGATGTTTTTAAATTTTGTTTAATGCTTTAGAATGTCTAATGGTGATATAAAAATGTTATTTTTTATGATTGAATATTTTAAGTTTTTTTCTTCGATATTTTTATTCTGGTGATTGAGTGACCGATGACGGTTGAATCTTTTATGTACATATGTATAGAATCGATGTATAAATGCATGCAGAGGGGATAAAAGAAATGCAAAAAATACAAATCAGGGGTTAGATGTTACAAGAAAGGGAAAACGGTTACATAAAAGATTCCAGATTTTTTAATCCAAGTGGACATGAATTTAAATACATGAAAAAAAAAAGATGGTGAAAAAAAGAGAGTATGTTAAAGAAAAAAAAATTTAACAGATGTTAAAAAATATTGGTATTTTTCACCCTCTGATCAACATTATGGCTATTTTTTTCTTTTCTAGATTTTTTGATGGAAATAAATAAATAAAATGAGTTGGATAATTTTTTTGATGAATAAAGTGACCTAAAATGGCGTCTGTCTGGTGATAAAAGGGAGTGAGCCAATCGAAAGAAGGGGGATGGGGTAGAAGGGTTGAAAGATCTATATGTAGATGTGAAGAATGAAAGTGAATGTACAACACATCGTGGAGAGAGGAGAATGATGTTCATTGGACGTGAAAGGGCTGAGTGTGACTGAATAAAAGGGTTGAGAGAAGAGTTTTGATTGGTGGACATGAAAATGGTATTAAAAAGGGGAGGCTTCTGCCTCAAAGGGTAAATATTAATGATTTCTTTACTGGATAGGGTGTGGTCTAGATTTTTACTTTATTCTTAAATGAATATTAAATAAAATTATCTCATTTGAGCTAAGAGAGAAAATTAACAAAAAATTTCTAAAGTTTTTGTGAATTTTTTCCACGACTTCCGGTTATCAAAAATGGCTCATATTGGAGTGTTGAAAATCAGAAATTTCCCGCTCTATAACATGCAATTGGTATTTAATCGATATCGATATTAGTTTGTTCACAATTAATTTTTAAACACAACTGTCTTACTTGCATTTACTGTAAAAAATTTGAAAAACTCTTTGAAGCTTTTGGAAATTTTTTTTACCACTTCCGGTTATCGAAAATGGGTTGTATTGCAGTGTGAGAGATCGAGAATTTTCTGCTCTACATGATGCACTTGGAATTAGATTTTTATCATTATTAGTTTACTCACAATTAATTTTTAAATACAACTACATGATCTGACCGAAAAGTCAAAATTTTAAAAAATTGTTTATTAATTTTTTTTATGACTTCCGGTTATCCAAAATAAGTTGTATTGCAGTGTTTTTGATCGAGCATAATCTGCTCTCTATGATCCTGGTCTTATTTAACTTCTATCATTATTAGTTTCCTCACAATTAATTTTTAAAAGACTAAACATTAATGATTTCTCTACTGAACGAGGTGTGGTTTTAATTTCCTTTTTTAATTAACATTTTTTTTTAAAGTAAGAAGTTAGAATATTATTATCGACGCCATTAAAATATAATTAATCAAATACACTGGTATTTCCATAATTAAATAAATTTTCCTCTGACTAAAAATAATTAATTCTCCATTAGAAACGAAATGTAGTCCAATTTTTTGTTTTAAATTAATTAATAACTTTTACAACTTAATGTTCTCTCGGTCTTATTAGTGAGTAAAACCACCCTCTAAAACCGTAGGAAAAGGGACACCTCAAATGACTAAATTTCACCTTTAATAATTCATCAAGCTTTTTTCCCAAACAAAACCAAAAAGTGGCCAAAACTTTTAATGGATTCTCGAAAAAGTTTTCTCCTTTTTTGCCTTCCTCTCATATTCCACTGTTATAAGAAAAACTTTTTCCCGCCATTTTTCTTGTATGCTCTACAAAACAAAGACGAGAATACAAAAGACCCCTTGGCCACCCCCTCACTAAACAAGAGGATGAAAGAGAGGAGAGGAGAGTAGGAAGGCAATGTAAGTGAATATACACTGGATGTATATATAGAAGTGGTCGTTATTCAGAGTAGGAAGAAGGGGGGTGTCTTCGAGGGGTTGTTGGTGGTCCCGTGGTGGTTGCAAGAACGATTTATTGATCAGTCTAGCACATTGAAGAGTTAGAGTTGGTTGTCCAATGGCCGCGGTCAGTTTCATTCACGTATACTACACAAAACTATAGGGATAGAACAGAGAAATAAAGTTAACCCTCCGATACAACCCCCTCGCGACGCGTCCATATAACGAATAACGACGAGAGGGTTGGAACCCTCTAGGTTTTTAGCTGGGGATAGCTTATCTCATTCGAGGAAATTATCGTAGAAAGATGGAAGTCTTCTCTCGTATATACTTACACCCTCTCTAACTTCCCTCATTTCCTTTTACCCCTTGTCCACCCATCACTCACCCCTCTATAACACAACCCTTAGCAGAAATCCAATATTTCTTTTGATCATACTCCACTGAAGATCTCACCAATTACACCAGCTGCTTGTACTCCAAATGTTAAAATGTTTTGTGAATAAAAAATTAATGAAAAGGGGGTGGTAATTGATGAGGTAACGGGGGTTGTTGTTGATTTTTAGGATACCAATGGAGTCATTGATTGAAGGATATTTTAGAGTTAAAAGGTTGGATTCAGTGGAGGAAATTGGATATCTGGAGAAAAGTACACAGTTTTGGAGATTTTCTTCGTGGTAAGGGGTGAAGTGATTTAAATTAATCTGCCGGCTAGGGAAAATTTTTTTGCCAGTGAAAAATTATTGGATCATCTAGATCACCCGATTGGCGATCTCAAACACTCCAATACAACCCATTTTCAAGCACCGGAAGTGTGAGAAAAAAATTCATAAACATCAGAAACTGCTATCATTCATTTCATCCAAAATTCCATTTATTTATCATCATTTATTTATTCAATTATGATGAGTAATAAATTTTTTAGCTAATCAACAACTATTGGATCATCTAGATCACCCGATTGGCGATCTCAAACACTCCAATGTAATCCATTTTCAAGCACCGGAAGTGTCAGAAAAAAATTCCTAAACACAAGAGACTGTTGACTATTTTCATCAAAAATTCATTTCTTTTACAAATCATTACTTAATTATTTATTAAAAATTAATTGTATATATAAAATGAGGTATTTTTAATAGAATGAACAGTTGGTGTAGAGTATAATGCAGTGAAAAAAATTAATTTTCTTGGAAAATGTATGATGAAGCCAATGCCCCGAATGTGCAGAATCTAATAAGCAGAAGGTGTTGATGAGTATTAGATTACTATTAGAAGTTCAAAAATAAAATACTAAACAACAGTTGGATTATAATCAATAGGATTATAATATTATAAGGATTCCATTCAATATTATTATCTAATTTAAATTCTAAGACATTAATTTAATTAGCTCCAATAAAATAAAATTAAAAAAAAAACACTAGTGGTTTCAAATAAGGAGGCCAAAATTAATTTTTATAAATAAATAAATGCGAATAAAAAATATCAATCAATAAATTCTATATCGGAAATCGGTTGCATCACAAAAACGATCGAGATTGGTAAAATTTTTTTGATGATTTTTAGAGGTAAATAGGTTGGAATAAAACCCCCACACAGGGATTGATGGT